CGATGGCAATAAAAGTCTCTCTACGCTTGGACAACAATTTCCAGTTATATATCTTGGAGCCCAGAAGAAGAAACATGCGTATTGTGGTTTTATAAGTTTGTGACTATTTTTCAATCACCTTGAGAATGCTGGTTATATTCCAATTAGCATTATTACAGGTGGATATTTGTCAAAGCAACTAGAAAACTCCAATCCTGTCAAACAATAGAAATGGAGAAGGAAAAGATGTCATGGAACTAAAAATAAAGAACAGTTTAATTTTAAGAAAGCAGAAGTCTTTGCACATCCTACCGTACAGGTGAGACCAAATTATGGCAAGATCAGGAACTTATTGAGTTATATACAACCTGAAAAGGATCTAAAATCCATTTTACCAAAGGTGTGCCCCTTTTGAACGAGAACCATGGGAGAGCAGGGTCAAATCCATCTTAATGGATAGAGTTGTCTTATACATGTACAAACAGAACGACAGAAGGATGCAAGTATACAGTAGAATATGACACCATGGTTATCCAAAAAACTAAGATATCTAAGAGTCTGGTGTAGCCAACAAGAATGAGCGTCTTAATCATGAAAACTAAAAAGGTTGCCCCAGCTGCTACAAATTCTATTGGGAAAAAAATTGTGAAAGCTGCTACAGAAGACTAAGTGCTGATTCATTTTTATCAAGGAAAACAGGAAGGATGTGTCAAATGGCTTACCAGAAAGAGGGAAATACCTCAACTTCATGTTCATACTGAACTGGTTGTTTGAGAGTTCAAGAAATCAACCAACATATCTTCTGCAGAGTTTCTTTTAATCATTTTAATTAGTTAGAAATCAACATGAACTAAACAGAAATTAGAGGTGAATGAAATTTTCACAGCTGAATAGACTCACGGACTAAAAAGAAGTGCACAGTTATTTTCACAATTGCTCTTTTACTAAACCATTCTCTATAGTACTCATGTTAATAGTTGATGCAACTCATGACCAAGAGTATTCCTAAAACAAACGGCTAGCACGTTCAAATGTTAAAGCAAGACTACAGAATCTTCTCTAACTGTTGTCATCCTCCTATGATGCTCTAATAGTTTAAAGTTCTCATTTCAGGCAACAGAGGTCCATGTAAAGACAGAAACAAAGTTTATATATGATATTAAAGTTAATCTAGCTGAAGAAACAGAAAGCAGCTATGTAGTACCTTCAAAAGATAAGAAATACAAGGCTAGTTAGGACATCATGCACCATGTTTCTTTTCTTTTTCAAAGGACTGCAATTCTTACAGCTGGCTTTGTTGACTGAATCAATATTTACAACAATGTAATGAAGAAGAATTTGATCAATGTTAAGCACAGATGTCAAAATGTGTTCAACATAAAACCCTCCTAAAAGAAATTGAAATGACATATAAGTCAAATTCGTAAATGACTTCACCTAAAATCAAGCAATTTTTGGTGGAAATGTATTCACTTAACATCTTCAATGAAATCTCTGCCATGGACATCAAAATATACGACTCTGGAGAGGTCCAGAGGGTAAGGCTTCACTGTTGACAAATGAGTCTCAAACTTTATATGAACATTGAAAACCCATTGCCAACACTAAGATAGATCCAAACAAAAAAAGTAAAGGAACCACGTTCCACAGAATTATGTGATATCTGACATAGTTGCTTAAGATAAAGCTCATTTGATGAGGAGAAGATATGAATCTATGGTTTATATGGAACACAGCTATTCTGCCAAAAATCCACAAGATTATTGTTTCTCCAGCAAAAGAATATGATTTATACAGTCAAGGAATTATTCAATCTTGTGCATCAGTTCAAAACTAAAAGAAGAATCAGGAGGCCAACTCGATTTTCAAGGATCAGTTCACGGAAAACAGTGACACTTAAATCAACAAAAAATTCAAAACACCACCACGATGTAGTCTTTTCCTAGTATAGCTGTATAATTTTTCTTTAAAAAGCACATATGCACCATAATTTAAAAGGAAATATAGGCATAAGATAAATCAGAATTTGCAATATATGATACTGATTTACAATTTCAAAGAGTGTCAATATCAAAGGGATTGGCAGCTCTGTAGTACATTATCAACAGGAATAGCAGTTTCAATGTGCTGTCAACTATCTGTTGTGTGTATTGAGAACTTGCACTAATGTACGATCACTAGTTTATAAGAAGCCCTATTTACGAATAACGCAAGGAAGCTCACCATACTTTTCTAGAAAGACAGCCTAAAAGTTAAAATCATGTCCTTACTTGGCCATGAAGAACACCAATACCTCAACATCCAATGCTCAGCCAATGAAAGAAGGTGTTGTTTATATTTCTTCCATTCCTCCATAGATATGTCCATAGGCACGTACCGAACTCGGGCAGAAGACCAAAACCAGGAATCCGCAAAAATGAATTGATCTAACGGAACCATCAAACCTTTGGGTTTAACATTTAATAGAGATTTTCACATGATTATAACAACATATAATTTCTCAAAAATCATTTCAATCAGTCATCACTCTCATCGAGGCCACTAACTGCAGGAACTCGTCCCTTCCTCTTGCTTTTTGTTGAAAATCTTGCAGCAGACACACTCAGAAGTTTATTGAGCGACATGCCTTCCCCTAAGATCTTTCTTTTCTCTTCGTACCTGTGTTTAATCCTTCCGTCAAGCTTGTACCCGAGAAATGCAGGAAAAGCCAATAGCTCCCCAACTTCACGACCCATCTCCTCAACCAAGTAGTCCATCTTCTCCTCCAGTGACTCATGATTGTACTGTAATACCTGCGGATGTTTCATGCTCATCTCCAAAATGTCATCAAAAGTCAAGCCGTAGTTCAGAAATACGCCAATAACTTCTTGCATATTTTTGCAGCTAGTCCTGGTAACAGCTCCCATTGCCATAGCCAATTCCTTAGTATTCTTCTTATACCCAATCTTCACCAAAAAAACCAGCTTGTAAGCGAGATTCCCCTCAAATGACAAACTTAGAAATAAAGGAGCTTTTATCAAGAACCTGAATATATCATGTGAACTCAATCCACATTGCTTTAGAAAATCAATTCGAGGATGCAATTTTCTTTTCCTGCTGGCACTAAACATGTTGGGATAAACTAAAACAATTCGAAAGATCTCTTCCTCACTTAAGCCAGCATATGATTTCAAGAACTCTACGTGATCTTTTAAGTGATCAACACTGTATGCTACAACAAATGGCAACTTACGCAACACAGTTGCAGTTCCAGTCTCATCACCCCCACTCAGCTCCAAGAGGAACCCTACCCTGGGAATCAACTGGGCATCAAGGTCATAATTGAGAAGTGCTGGTCGGCGAAGAATCAAATCACCACCACCAAAACGGTTCAAGAAAGTAAGCATTCTTTCTATATCTTCAAATGACTTGAGACAAAATGCCTTTGTTAAGTTGGCATTGTTGAGAACGTGAACAATTGTGTCTTGGGTAATCCCAAATTCGAGTAACAATCTAACCTTTGTTTCAAATCCTTCAAGAAACCTTGGTTCTGTCGAGTTAAAAAGATGTTCAATCTGTGAAGATTTGATTTTTCCTGCCAATTCCAAATCACCTTCTATAAGAAAACTAACAAGGCCATCAATTTCCACAGCTGTTAAAACATCTGGTCTTTTCACAATCAATCTTGAAAGAGCAAGACCGCTGACCCCAAGGGACTGCAAAGAATGAATTCGCGTGCGTATGGATTCGAACGGCGTCAGGCTAATTACCGGGTGGGCGTCCAAAAGAGCTTCAGTATCAGTCTCATTGAACCCAATTTCTCGAAAGAGTGAAAATAGCATCACCCCTGAGAAAAGAGACCATTCAAGAGCGGTCAAAGAAATGGGGATGATAGAAACACATCATGTGTTTGATATTTGACCTGAGAGAAAAAAACTCACCGGAATCGACGAAAGAATTTGTAGAGCTGTCGTTGATGGCGAGGGCGTTGCATTTGAGCAGTAAAAGCGTGGAATCTTGAGGAACCAGAAAGTGTAAAGGTAGTTTATCTTGTTTTTGTGGGTAAAACGCGAGTTTCTGACAAGGGAGCAAAGCAGAAGGAAAGAGAGTTCGTATGGGGGGAAATAAACAAGAAGGAGAAGGTGAAAGACGAAAAGATTTGGTGGGCGTCGACATAGTAGCAAAGGAAGCAACACTGCAGCCAGTTGCTTAGCGATAAGGTAGATGACGATAGTTAAGCTGTTGCTCCAAAGTGTCACTCTCCAACCAGTAACGGGTTAAAAACCAAATTTAGTACTGCTTACTAAATTATTTTATCATTTGAGTTTAGGATAATACCAGGCGCGCCAAACTACATTAATTTTTCAATTGACAAAAAAAACTTTAGAAAAGATTGTCCTAGTATAGTGTGTAAACCAACTCATGCTAATATTATCGATAAGAGTTATAATTGAATGTAATTTGTTCGTAGTAAAATTAGAACAAGAACCAAATGAAGAAATGTTCTCCTATTATCATTGGTAATTTGAATTAGTCTCATTAAGAAAATAACGTTTGTTTCAAATCATGACTAATCTCTCTGGTTTTCCAACATTTTCCAGTCAAGAGCAGCCCCAACTTATGCTTTCAAAAAATTAAGCCAAAAAAAGAGGCCATAAGAGTCCAATTCTACATAGTCCTGTGATCGCCGAAAGGTGGTTCAAACAAATGATATTCATCAGTAAGATTAAGCAATGTCTAGTTGAAACCACCAAAGATCACTTTTAAGGAGAGAAAAAGGAAGTGCTTCTTTCAGAATAGAAATGACGAAAATGCAAAACAACATACAGAATCACCCTTGCTCGTTGATGTCTTCGACTCCCCTCTCAGCCAACAGAAAACAATTACTTATCTAAAAAATTTAAATAGGGAATAGATGGCAAACCAAGAAACGGTTACATTGCCAAAATGGGAGCTTCAGCTGGTACTTGACTGGACTGTCCTCAAACAAATTTAAAACAGCAGATGTTTGAGTAGCCTGTATCAGTGTGTAACTTCACAACTCCAAGAAAAATTATATCTTTGATAAAATTGATTGAACGTATTCGGACTTTGAGCAATGATAGCTTAAATGTTTGCATCCTGATAAGCAAAAACATCAACAAAAAATTGTTACAATTATAATTCTCTGCACAGTGAGTGGTATTTATACAATTCTTCCTGCTCCGCTCAGCATCTTATATAATGGACTACTTGTTTCTGGAAACTGGCATGCTTAAATATTCCAAAGATGGCAAGGTAAGATGAATTTGCAATCAGACAACAATGTTTGGTTGCTTATTGAGCCTGACACTATCGATGAGATGGCTTCAGAGAATTCTTAGCAAAACCTACTCCATTTTTCTTACTTGTTGGAATGCTCTTGATTAGAACAACTGATGAAGATGCCTTCTTCAATTTTCTGTGAAATGCACAAAATATAGTCAGACTTTTTAGCATAGGTCACATACTCGAGAAAGCCACAAGGAAGACAAAAATTACAACTTAAGAAATTCTTACAAGTACCGTTGTTTCTTTTTGGAAGCCTGGCCAAACGAATCAGATGTTCTTTTACAAGTTCCTTCCAATTTATCATCCAACTGAAGCTTCTGCACAAGACAGTACAAGTCAAGACAACTCAAAAGACGATGGAACAATATTCTTCTGGTAAAACCAAAACGGCTACTGATAACCATTAGGTAACTGGTCTTACATCAATGCCTCATATCTATACACCAACCCCTTCACTACTTAAATGCACAGAATAGTCCATCAAATTTCTCATTCCTTTATGCATGTGAATTCAAGATCACGAACTTCTACAGCAACAAATTTGAATATATATCTCCAAATAATTACTTTATGCACGCACGACGATCTGTTTGTGTTACATTTTTATGTGCAGGGGTGGATTTATTTTAAGCCAAGCGGTGTTATATGACCCCGATTTGTCGCAAAATAATTTTACTAAATATGTCTATATAATTAAAAGGCAGAAACGGGAAGTAGATAAATTGAGTAAAATAATACCGCTTCGTCAGAAAATTTTACTAAATGTCTGTATAATGAAAAAGAATAAACATAACCGTTTGACAGTTGAAACCAAGAGCAACACATCTCATTTGGTCGGGTGCCTCAATTTTCTACCAGATGTCATGAGGTCGAAGCTAGCAGCTTCATTTGTTGTTTTAATATTATTGCGCCTCATCTATAAAAGGAACATGGCCAGCCATTCAGTTCGTACCACTGACCTCTTGAAAGGTTGACAAAACATAGAACATTAGACTAGAATAACATTTATTGACTCTTTGACAATAAACTATTTGATGGTTGAGAAGGATGGAGTCATGCCATTTTCTTTCTTTTCTTTTTCTTTTTTCCTTTCATCTATTTTCTGAACAATGAGTTTTTAGAGGTTATTTGGTGCCCTGTATAAAAAAAATGTACTTGGTATTATTTCTAATGAAGTTATTTCAAATATACATTTCACAAATGAAAAACAAGAAAAGTTAAGAGGAATATACGTGGATGGTGTTTTGTTTATATTTTGTCAAGTTAATTGTTAATTTTTAATATGATGTTATAGTGTTCTACTCGTTTTAAAATGTGACATTGCTTACAGAAAATCTTGTGTGATTTATTGTTTATGAGTAAATATAAGTCTCAATATGCAAGTAAATAATGATAAGCTTGACCTAAAGAAATTAGCACTAATGAATCCACCAATAAGGACATAACTAGTTTCTAAACTATTTAGCAAATATATCTCATCAAAAAGGGACATCCCTATTTGAGACACGTCATGTTCTTATTAATCTCAGTGTCTTCATAAAGAGACAAACGGTGTGAAGAACAAAAAATTAGATCACATTCATAGGCCTTGTGAAATTAGGTATTGGGTCTAACTGAGACCCCAAAAGCTTAGCTCAAAGGGAGAAAGATTGGCCAAGACCTAATTTTACATGGTATAATAGCAGAATTCATTTCACCCAATGTTGGGCTCCCACATCGGAAGTTAATGAGATGGGGGGTTTCCTTATCGGACTTGGGCAATACTCCTCACTTTGAGCTATCTTGTGTAAGTTAGGCCCGAGACCTAATTCTATAATCTCTAAGCCATTTCCATGGGGATTAAAGAAATGATCCTGCGTAATCTCTAGCAGAGAGTCATATACCCCAAATTCCATCTTTTTTACTACAATTTTTGTCATTGGTGGATCAATCTGATTTGAAGCCAGCTATAATAAAAATGTTGCATACCATACATTTGCAACATTCTAAGGAAAGGAATAGAAATAGATAAAGTTCGTACAACCAGACAAAACTTCATGATCTGACATAATGCAGTTTGCAATTCTATATCAAACTGAACAAGACAGGTCAGAACTATGCATCAGATGCTAAAGAAGCCACACTTGGCAGTACATACCAAATAGGGTCTTCAGAAAAAGCAAAATAGTCAGATATAACAATGTAACCAAATAAAATGCATAGAATAGGCCATTTTGTAACACAAAAGAAGAAAAGTTTCATTCGGAGAACAGCACGACTAGAAATGAATTTCACCCCCACAATGTTGCAAGAGGTATACGATGCAAAGCTATCATAAATATCCAACACATTAATGTGGTGAATGTTTTGATAAAAACATGAAGTATAACTAATGATAAACATGACTTTGAAATAGCAGCATAGCGACCCACTATCATCATTTTCCAACAGAAGGCTAATAAGTAATATACATCATCAGAGTTTTCACTTCAATTGGAGCTTGAAATCCATATGATATAGTCGTAACAGAAAAGGATAGTCCATTTGAACAAGGACGGCAAGTAATTATGCACTAAAAATTAAGCCTTCTTTAGAAAGTAACACAGTATGCTTCGGTTATCCTAAAGTAGCTCCATATGCTAAACCCTAGCCAAGATTATACAATATACTGATGGTGAGAATACTCTTTTCAATAATTAGTTTACACTTACTTGTATCTACTGTTTTTGATAAGCAAGCAACTTAACGCAAAGAAGTTGTAACATATTTGCTAGCTTGATATAATTAAGAATTCATAAATCCATTGTGACCAATGTTCTAATTCACAGTGCACTTGTGAAGTGAAACCAAGATCAAATATGTAGGTCATAGGTTGTATGACCATATCACTAGCCATCATTAAATTGGGCATGCGTAGTTCCATTATATCAAAGCAATATGAGCTAAATTGATATGCAGATACATTCTACATGTGCATTTACTACATCATCCATATGAGAACCACGAAGATATGGAAGATTTAACTTGCTTCTTGCATTATTGGAACATAAAATAACAAGAACTCTACATGATTAAAAAATTTCCATCAGTATTTGATCACATTCCATCAAGGTATTTTAATTACTGAGTACTACCAAACAAGCATATAACCAAACATGATCGCTAGTAACACAATTGGTTTAACTGAACTTACTTCACTGACTGAAGACTTGCATTCTCTCCCTTTTTCAGCATAGCCGTTATGCCCGCTTATAAACTTCCGTTTCTTCTCGCCACGAGCATCCTCACTTGTCACATCAACTTTCCTCTTCTTCTTCCCCAAATTCAGCGTCTTACTTTTTTTATCACGAACTTTCCAAACGTTCTTCTTTCTGAAAAGCAATTTCTCAAATTTCCACGGTGCACAGCTCGTATCTATCACCATTACTTCAGTCCGTGAAAATCCCATCAAATTGGCGTTGGACTTGTCCTCCTCTTCCGCTAAGTTCAAATTATGGCCCTCCTCTAATAGCTTGACCTGAGAATCCTTAATTTCCACCCGACATTTGTCCAGCGACTCAGTTTCTTCTTTCCTCTGACCACCCTCGACTACCGCATCACCGTTGATTTCCGATGAAGCACAAAACCTAGGGTTCGTCTGTTTGCGAGAGCCCCTTTTCACACTCAACTTAGGGAAACTAGTTGACTCCCCCATACAAAATAGATCGGAGAGAACATTCGTAACTACACTACACAGTTCTTCGTTGTCTCCACTGTTATGTGATGCTGCCGGAGCTTGGTCCCGAGGGAGAACCGATTCGTTCACGGGCCGAATTGGATCGGAGCTGGATTCCGAACCGGTATTATCCTTATTATTACTGTCTCTTATCTCAGTTTCGGTGCTGGAAGGAAGAGAATCAGATCCATTAGGAGTCTGGTGAGTGAGAAATTGTTCGAGATTGCGGTTGTCGGCAAAGGAGAAGCCTTTTGATGATCGGAGCCGGTCTAGCCAGTTTGAACCAGCCGATTTCTGGGTAGAAATGGAACAGAGCATTGTGGACAGTGAAATCAAAAGAGGTGAGCTTAGGGTTTACAGAGAGAGTTCATGCTTGATGCAGAGAGAAAGGTAGAAGCTGCCATCGGTGTGGAAATTGAAATATGGCAATGCTGACACGTTGCTTGTAAGTGGTAGGAGGGAAAATGGAAGAACAGACAAATACTATATACACTATCAGTAATTGTGATTAACAGACACCTAATTCTACCAAGATTAGCACTTCTTTTTTCCAATTTTTTACAAATTTAAGATTTGAATTAAAGCTTTTGAGTTCGGTTCAATCTGTAATTAACGTACTATCTCCGCTGCTGGTTACAAGTGCAGAAATTGGTTAGATTAGAATAATTAATCAACTCATCTATTGTAATTAATTACACTAATTGTATTTAATCGAATTTACTATTTTTAGCTCTTACCTTTCACGTGTTTTGTCGGGTAAACACCATTTAAATTAATTAGAAGTAAATCCATTATGGATGGGTAGGTTTTGACTTAATTTTAAGGAAAAATTACTTAAATACATTTTTTATTAGATTTTTTAAATTTTTTTATCATTTAAAAAATTTTCAAAAATCTTTCGGATACATTACTCTCTTTTGTTGATATATCTTATCCCTTTGTCCGCATCGTCTTTGATCCCCAATTACTATATACAAATTATATTATATGAGTCTAAATTTAAAAGAGAGTCTAATTTTAATGCATAAATATCATCCTAAAAAAATCATAAACTTATTTCATCTTAAAAACTCAAGCTTCTTAACTTGGATGATCAAGTTCGTGAGTCCAAAAAATATCAATGAAGTAAAGGAATTGATTTAAGTAAAAATATCAATGAAGTAAAGAGATTAATTTAAGTTCATTGCCTTGGTGTTAATTTATTAAAAGATGTTAATTGTATTTATTAACAATACATTCGGTTGAATAATTTTGTATAAAATTTTATTTAATAATATGAAGATGTAAAGTGATTTAATTTAAACTTTTGAAATTTCAAATTTAAAGAGTAGGGATTTTTTCAATTTAATTAAGATTTTATAATTTTAAGAAAAATATTATTTTGTCCCCTAATTAGTGACATCGTTTCGAAAAAATTCTGCATACACCATTTTATCTCCTGTGTATCTGGATGTCTTATCCCTCTTTAATACATTTCTTTCCTCTCAAATATATCCCTTTTCTATGTATCTGGATGTCTAAGTGATAGACTCCGAAATTTATAGATTTTAAGAAATTTTTATAATTTAAAAATATAATAAAAAATTATTTAACTGTTAACATTGTGTAAATTATGTATACTTTTTTAATTCTCGCACATAATAAAGAGAGAAGTTACTATGTGTATTACTTGGCATTGCAGTGAGTTTTTATATTGAAAAAATGTAATAGTTTAGAGGACAGTAATAACATCCCATAATTTAAGTATCAAATAACTTATACATAAATTGTTTCAAAGTATTTATAGATATGTTGATATATATAATTTTACCAAATAAGTAAATTATAGTTCTGGAGATATCAAAATATTCTAATAAGTTAATAATTAATAAATAATATATGCTCGTGTTCATTTTATAGATAGGCGTGTGAATATGCAATTTTATATTGAAATATGATTTCATGATATATTTGTCCTTGAGCTATTGAGAGTTAGTTTCTTACTTAAACTATCACGCAATATGTAGTAAGTGAACATAGCTATGTTCACTAGACCAAATATTTGTCTAAAAATGCTTTAGACATGTTTGTTCATAAAATCTTCGTCGAATTGACATATATTACAATTTTTACTGACACGTTAATTTTATTTTTTAAAAATATTTTTAATTTACTTATTAAAAACTCTAAATTCTACCTTTTCAAGTTGAGATATTAATATCACGGTAGAGATGAAACAATAGCCAAGAATGTAGGGGCATAGCTATAACTATCTAAGGGTGGTCGATTGAACACCCTTTACTGAAAAATTATATCATATAGACAGCTCAAAGTCTAATTTTAAGGAACAAATAATTTACGTTGAACAACCTTGACATGAACTTTTTCGTGGCACAGTGGTTAAGCATGTTCATTTCCACCTCAAGGTGCGGGTTTGAGAGCTCAATTCCCACAGAGGCGCGCACACAACATTTTTTGTTTTATTCTGAAAGCAAAATACAAACTCACACACCTATATTAAAACACTGTTTTCATTTTAACTATTCAAATATCATGTATTTCTAATTTTTATCTAGGAATATAATGCACACTATCGAATGGTGAAAACAAAAAGGCCAACATATTAATTTGTGTTTTTATATGTTAACAACTTTAAACTCAAAGCTAAAATCAATACATGTATTTTATCTTCTTCTTTTTTGAAGAATTTTTTTTCTATTGGTGTATTTTATGTTTCGTAAAATTAGACGTATTTATTCTATCAATATTTTATTTTAAAATAATAATCATATATTTTTATCATATAAAATTAATACATAAAAAAAACTTGATTATTTTTATTTGAAATTTGACAATTATTGAGATTGTTCATGATGAAATTCCTAGATTAAGCAAATAACGTTCAGCTCACTTATTATTTTAAAAAAATTTAAAATATCTTTAATAAATTTTTAACTCGTCGCTGCGAAAATATAAAAAGTAGATGATTCAAAAAATGGTAGGTGTATTCAAAAGTCTGTCCAATAAATTGTCTTCATTTAATTTTTCATTCAATCTTAGGATGGTACCGGCACCGAGGTTGTTGAAAAGCAAACCCTTGTGAAAACCATACAAGATAACCGTTGACAATTGAACTCTTTGCAAATAGCCTTAAGCATTTGCTTAATGTAACAAATTCTTCAACATCCTTTAAAATTAATTAGAAGTAAATCCAATATGGACGGGTAGGTTTCGACTTATTGAGAAGGAAAAATTAGTTAAATGCACATATTGTTTATCATAATTTTAAAAAAACTATCATTTAATTTTTTTTAAAAATCTCTTTAGATATATCACTCTCTTTACATTGATATATTTTATTCCCTTTCGAATACAATTCTCTTCTCTCTGGTACATCTTTTCCCCCTTGGATACATCTTCTCGAATATTTTCAAATGTCCAATAATGTATCTGAAAGTCCGAGTAATATTTCTAAAATTTATAAATTTTAAGAAATTTTATAATTTGAGAAATAGTAATAAATAATATACTTAGCTCTTAGATATCAACTCTTATATATATAATTTTATCAAATAAGTAAATTATAGTTCATAAATGATATCGAAATATCCTAATAGTTATTAATAAATTGTATATGCTTGTGTTCTTTTATAATTAAGCGTTTTGACATGTGATTTCATATCGAAATATGAAATCATGATATCTTCGTTCTTGAGCTATTGAGTATGAGTTTCTTATTTGAACTATCATACAATAAGTAAGTAAAACACAACTAGACATTGACTAGAGCAAATATTTGTGTAAAAATGTTGTAGGTGTGTTTATTCATAAAATCTTCGTCCACTTGATATATATTATAATTTTTTTTACCGAAACATTGGTTTGAATTTTTTTAAATATATTTATAATTTACTTATTAAAATTTTTAAATATTAACATTTTAAATCGAGATATCGATATCGCAATAAAAATAACAAAATAATTAAAAATATGGAAAGTAAATGATGGTTGATATGGTTGAAATAAATTACCCTACAATAAATAATAAATTTTTAATCTGTATTCTAATATTAATTTACTTAGATTAACGTGAAATTATTTTTCAATTTGAACGGTCATGCACCATTATTTTTAATTAAACAAAAGAAGAAGTGCATAAACATCAAAGTTGTGATTTTACAAACTATTAAATGCACGTGATTTTACAAAATTCAATATTCAACCGTAGTAGTCACTAGCTTCCTTCTAATAAAATTACTATGAATTTATAAATCAAATTTTAAAAAAATCTTTGAATAAATTCTTTTATACGAACTTCATTAATAAAAAGTTTATTTAAAATAAAAGAGAAAAAAATATACTTTTATGTAATTATTCTACGCCATATTTTTGAGATATTAGTGTCCTGTCGTTCAAAAACTAGAACATATATACTCTTTATATTAACGGATATACACGTATCATAATTTTATTCACTGATTCAATATTTATCGACGGATAAAATTGCGTCACATATCTCTATTTAGTCTTTTATTTGAGTCAAAAATATATACACTCTAATTTTTAAACGATAGAAGCATCAATATTCTTAAAATATGTCATTTATAATAGTTTTTCATAGATATATTTGTTTTTCCCAAAATGAAAGATCAAAATCATGGTTACAAGTCAAAACACCTAGCCTATTTTATTGAAAATGAAAAGGTAACAGGAGCAAGTACCAAAAACGAATTGAAAAATATGGGGAGTAGAAATGTAAGGATATATGAGACAGGTGTAGAATATGAATTGGGCTCAGAGTGCGGCGTTTTCTTCTACAACAGAAAACACCGACATAGGATGCTCCGTCGTTTTGTCCCCATCCGATTTCCCCTCGAGATTTCCATTCTTAACGCACCAACAGTCCACGATGACCTTTATCCTATCTTCTTCTTATCCAAACAACCAAATCATCCTTCCTCGTTTATCGCATTCTATATTCACACAACAATAAATTCCACCATAGATTTATTATCCCATTCTATCAATCAACAAAAATAATATTCATCAATCGATTTATCCCTTGTATTGGTTTGTTTATATTGTTGGTTGATTTGATATGGTGTTAGTTGAGGAATTTTTCGAGATTCTTGAAAGACCCACCATAGGTGCAGTATTTGTAGAGATTATGGTGTTTCTTGGTCCTGTTTGGATTGCATTTCTTTTGGGTATTACCGTCGGATGGATTTGGAAACCTAAATGGGCTGCATGGAAGAATTGTAAATTTGATTTTTCACTACCTTCATCCCCCTCTGCTTCGGTTCCTTCTACCTCCAAACCCCAGGGTTTTCACTCCGACGAGGCTCCTACCCCTAGTTTTGCTTCTTATGTGGATGCTGGCTCAGAGATTGAACAATTTGACAGTGGGTAAGCTTTATTGTTTATTTCATATATAAAAGTTTATGCTTTGTTATACTTTGTTTGGGTAGTTGTTACATATTGTTGCTTATTGTATTGTATTGTCCTGATGATTACAATGTCTGGATAGATTGTATTGTTTCTTGTTATGAGCCATAATTCTACAATAAAGTAGGATTATTAGCTAATAAGCAAAGATAAAATGAGAAGAAAAGGAT